TAACTTATATTTTGCAGAATTAATATTTACAAATACAGCAATATTGACCGGGAATAACAATTAAGCTGTTACAACTTACAAGAGGAATCATGAAATATTGTTTCACAATTTTTTTTTTAATTTTTTTATTATATTTATCATTTTTTTCTTGATTAGGACGATCGTATTACCAAAAATTCGGGTTCGATACATGGATAGATCGCATGATAAACCGTTATTCTTTATGATATATTTTATCCCGGGATCAGGATTCGATGTTCACATAAAGCACTTATGGTTCAGTGACCCAGAGAAATAAGCGCATGCATTCGATGAAGTGTCCTAAAGAGGTTTCGGAGACTTACAAATGAAGTCACGACCTAGAGCTTAACTCAGTCCTCAACCGCTCCTGTAATCGCAAGGGATTCACTCATGCCCGTTATACCAGATTTGCTGCCCACAACTGGCGAGTACCTCGGCAGTTGATAACTAGTTTGAGCGACGTGCGGATTTTAATCGTGCGGAGGTGAGATGATCATGTGAATGTTATATGAATATTATTTCAATCTTACTTTGTCAGAATTTTGATCAGTAAAGTATATGTTTAGTAAAAAATAAAAAAAATTGACAAATATATGATCTATTAAAATATTCTAATCGAAATTCTTTGTTAGTAACACATGATAGTTATATGTTAGTCGTCTGACAATAATTTTGCGTTGATGTACACTTTCAAGGTTAACCGAATTTAATAATTAATCATAAAAATAAATATGAACCTATATAATGATATGTTCTATTTAATGTTAAATTATCGAAATACCATTTCAAATTCGAAAAAGATATAAGAATTTATAGATCTTGACATATGAATATGGAAGAACAAAGAGATTGACGCATTTCACTAACACTTGATAAGAAAGTGATCATATAACCCATTATTTAAAGTTAATAAATATGGAGCACTTTATATTTAACTAAATATTACATCCCATAAGAGAATCGCAAATATTTTTAGACATTTTTTAAAGAAAATTCTATAAAAAATCTTAAAAATATATATATAAAAATCATATATTTATATGTCGATTTGGTTCGGATTTTTTGTTTTACTCAATACAAAACTAAATCAAATCAAACTTAATCTGGTTTTTTAATCGTATTTTTAGTTTGGTGAGGGTTTCTCGTTCGATTTGTACACCCTCCCTGCTTACTGCGATAGTCAATCAGATCCTTTTTTATCTTTATCTTCTTTTTATTTGCCTAATCTCATTAGTTTATTCATAGCACTATTAGCTTGATTCTAAGTTTCATTCCATTGAACTTTGATTTGAATCTATTGCTAGTGACCTCATTATAAATAAATTTAATTATTACTTAGAAACTATTTTTGAATTAAACAGCGATGATATTGGAAGTATCTATGACCGATTATTATAATGATAAAACTAAACAAAGAGTAAAGTAAACAAGGTTAAGAATTTTTATTTCACAAAAAATATGGAATATGTCAATGGAAACACAAATGATATCTTTGGAAGGAAAGGTACTTAACATAAAGAAGTGCTTCAAAAGCTAACTGTTCTAATAATTGAGAGGCAAGAAAATAATTGCAAATGAGCTAGCAAAAAATACTAATCTCTTATAAAGAATCCATGGTATTGGTACTGACCTATAAAAGTAAAATTAAATAAAATTTGTTCAATGAATCACATGCCTTGGAAGTAAGTGTAAACCCTCACTACTTTATTTTTATTTTCTGGAATGTCGACATGTAGGGATTCCTTCATAAATTAGGAAAATGTAGGTATGTGGCAACCATTACATACAATTAGGTAACACATTATCAAGCATTAAGCTAGTCTGCTTTTGTTTAATGGGGTAGGAGAACTTTCATTTGTCACTCATTTAAAGTGAACCAAAATTTCCTTTTCTCAGTTCCAATCAATAGAAAGGCCATTTAATTGATTGGGAGCAAAAGAAATAAAAGTATGGGAAAGCAAAAGAAAAAAGAAGAATAGAAAAAGGTAAGAAAAAAAAAAGGTATTTGGTTTCCCTAGCTTGGAATAAGAGTAGTCCTTGGTATATCCTACTCTCACGTTTCATAGTCATCATATTAACCCAAAAAGATAACTCGTTCATTCAAATTTTTATATATAGAACCTTTAGAGGTTTATTCCCCGTATATATTTTTGAAAACACTCTCCTATTGAATTTCTCCTTTATAGGAAAGCAGAAAATATTGTTTAAAAATAAAATAATAAATTTAAAAAGTAGAATAAAAGTAAGAGTGAAGATTAGAATCGTAAGAAACGGTTATAAATCCACTTTCCTACTTAAAAAATGAGCTAAGAGTTTGTTGTAATTAAATTTTTAGTATACTGTTTTGAAGAAATTCTCCTTTAAGAAAAAAAAGGAAATAATAAAAAAAAATGAAATAAACATTAAAATAAAGTAGAAAGCAAGAGAAAAGAAAATTTGCAGTTTAATATTATAGTTGTAATTTCACATCATCTTCCCTTTTATTTCTCTGCATTATTCACGAGCTACACCCACTCATGAAAATAAAAGTCGAGGGCGGTGCGACATTTTGTTTTGATTGATGGAAAGGAAAATAAAAAAGGTTGGGAGTAAAGTGTGAGGGGATATGATTTGTCTTGATCAAAGTGTGTGAATTGCATTATTAGCCTAGAAACCCCACACCTTCCTCTAGATTCTTTGTATATTGCTTTATTTGCCTTTTCTATGTACTTTTAAGTTTGGGGTTATGTGATCGCTTACGTTCTTTTAGTATATGATGATTCATTTCATAGTATATGAATTCGACAATAAACACATGAGATTCTTGTAGAATTAAGGAGTTTCGCAATATGTAGCCTTTATTTATTTTACAGAATTCTCGTGCATTCACAATATATAGCCCCAAAAATAATATCTGAAACACCATCTTTCTCAAATTACTTTCCTCTTTTTAGGTCGTCAAGAGTTGCACAAACTGACTTTTAACCTACAACAACAACAACTCAGTATAATCTTATTAGTGAGGTATGAGGAGGGTAGTGTGTACGCGGACCTTACTCCTACCCTAGGATAGAGAGGCTGTTTCTGATAGACCCTCGGCTCCCTCCCTCCAAGAACTCCCCACCTTACTCTTGGGTGACCCGAACTCACAACCTCTTGGTTGGAAGTGGTGGGTGCTCACCACAAGAGCAATCGTAACTATATTACCAACTGTAGGAGTAGTTTTTAAATAAATCTTATATCTCAAAGAAATATTCTTTGTCCGATTTAACTCTAAAGTTAATCACATTTGCCTAAGTGAAAAGAAACAAATTGAAAGGGAGAAGTGTGTATTTTTGGATCATAGTGATCTCAAACCATATATATTACCCACAAAGAAGAAATAAGGGAAACTGAAAACCTAAACACAAGTTTTTCCTAGCAAAACTCAACATAAGGAGAAATAACAGGAACACAATTTATCCGAATACAACTAAACATTCAATAAATGTCTATATCACTTAACCGGTGAAAATAGCACGGGCTAGCCAGTTTTCGAACTGATAATTGAAAAATAGTCATGTTTGCACAGTCATTGAAAAATAGCCACTATTTTGATGCAACACGGAAAATTCCAGCATAATATACTGGAGATTGGTGCACCTGTGTATGAACTTCCAGCATATTATGCTGGAACTCCAACACACGGAAAGTTCCAGCATAATATACTAGAGATTGGAGCACATGTGTATGAACTTTCAGCATATTATGTTGGACCAGTATATTATGCTGGAATATTTTTCGAATTTTGAAAGGTGTTTTCGTTCAAATTTATCTCTTACATGAAAAATAGCTAAATTTCAATTACTTTTGAAACTGTGACTATTTTTCAATTAACACTTGTAAATCAAACAAAATGGGCTAGAGATTGTGTCAATTTGGCATACAGCCGCAACCATTAATTATGTTTGGCACAAAATCTACACCTTTTGGCACATGGTTTTGCAAGTGGATTGTTCAAAGTGGATAAAATTTCTACTGCATATGCTTCACATAACTATAGGATAAAAAATCAGGAGTAAAGAAGCTCCTTAGCCCTCCCTATAGTAATCACAACACAAGATTTCCAATTTGGATAAGCTGTTGTATGTTCATCTCTTTGCTTGCCCCAGAAAAGCTCCAATTCAGGGGTGTTTTAACAAACAGAAGATGGAGACTTCACAATATAAAAGAGACTAGTTTTTCTGGCATGATCTAACCAAATCATACATTTATTCTTTGCAACAAAAACTGGGAAAAGGAAAGGTTATCTAACAAGTTGACCTTTTCTTCAAAAAACTAAAAACAGTCAGTTTAAAGAAATAAAAGCAAAAATAATCTCATCAAACAAAGAACAAAATGGTAACTTCAGTTTAGAGCAGCATGTATATATATAAACTCAAGAGACTTTGCTGTTGGGTGAAAATTTGTGCTCCTAGCAGTGTTGTTTCTTTCTGACTCAAGCACTGCTAACTCTACAGGGAGCGTAAATTGAGAAATGTAGATCAAAAATTGATATATCTGTAAACCACCCTTAAACCCCAATAAAATTGCTGAAGCAAAAAGACCAAGACTCCTCCAAATTTACATTTCTGAACAAGTCCATTCAGTTACTAGTTGGGATCTAGATGTGCTTTCTTCGGGGAACACAAGATGGAGAACTTATCCCGGCCAAAACAAATAGATCTAGGTCCACACCCTGATTCATCATCATCACTGTCAATGTCACTTGCATTCATCCTATTCTGCTGACCTCTTCGCCGTACAAGGAAGACATTAAAATAGTAGCTTACCAAAGATTCCCTGCTTTTGTGAGGAAAGACCTTAAAAAGTTCAGGCCAGAAACTGAAACTCTCATCCTCAGACAAAGGGCTCGACTTCACTATATCGTGGAATTTTTGTTGGTCTTCTTCTGTCCAAGAGAGTGCAACCTTTTCGCCAATGCAGTCAAATTTCCAGTGATAAAAGGCGGATCCTAGCTCAAATTTAACCTTCCTTGTTTTCTCAAAAAGGTGAAACCTGATGCAGTCAAAAGAACCTGGATATTCACAGCCACATGTATCTTGCCTTCCTTTCCCAGCAGGATCTCTTTCAATTAGTAACATTCTGTTCTGTTCATTTTTATCCAACGGCCAGATTCGGGTGCCCAACCATTTAGAGTCAGATTCATAGACGTCATTTTTCCATTCTGGAATATCCGCTTGAAACTCTGACCCAATCGATACTAGTTTCTTACGCCGACGGTTCCACCAAACTCCTGACTCGGCAGAAGAGTCAGTAGGTCCATCCATCAGAGTTTCATTGATATGAGAACCTGATAATGATGCTGTTGATAAAACCCGGGTCTTTTTCGAAGAATCTTTTGCAGATAGGACCCTTTGGCTGCACCTTAGTCGCTCAGACCCACTATTATCATCATACATAGATGGATGCATTTTCTGTTTGTGCTACAAGGCAAAGAAAAACTTGAATTAACCCAAGCCTTGATATGAGTAAATTTATGATCATCAACAGAGCATAAATATTTATATTATCATAATTGGCTAAATGAGGTTGCCAGCTGGAGTAAGGAAGAAAGAGTTAAAAGAAGACTCCGAGCTTTCAACTCTGCACACTGTGAACTAATCACATTTCAAGGTTGATAAAAATGCCGAATAAACCAAGGAAGTTATCTTGGTTACCGAATTAGCATTTTATCTAGCATAAGAGGTACACTGCATAAAAAGGGTTCACAATTGGAAGCACAGAACTTTCTCAAGATATATAGGTTGTATTAAAATTGGGCATGGTGGAAGTCCATTGGTTATGAATTTAAAACATGTAGACGAAGGAAACTTCAAACACATACTAGCAGTTGCCTGACAGAAATTTAGATGAAGCATTTTAGATCTAGGAAAGAAACAAAAAAAAAGGATAAGCCATTTAAGGAGAATGCACTATATACTTAAGAGATATAATTAAACTGGGATACAGAAGGTCTGCAATGACCCAACATGCCTTACGTTTTGGGTTACTACGAGCACTAATCCTCGAACATCAAATATGGCATGGTCATTTTGGAATATGAGACACTAAAGAATCTGGAAGCAAACTTCAACCATCCAAATTACTGCCATTTTCTAAGAAATACACCAACCTAATACTGGAATATGACAAATCAATAAGAATTATAAATATACCCCTTATTTTATGCTTTACTATTCATATTAAAAGGAAAAGCAAACAAACTAAATCATTCTTTTTGTAAGAAGACAAATAAAAGCTCCAATTGTATTAGAATTCTTAAAATACTGCATATCACATGTTAAAGATGCATATTCATCAAATTTTACAAAAAAGATTTTCGATTAAGGCACATCACAATATCTTCGACACATCCGGTGTTTAAAAAAGCGTTCGCTTCATCGCTTTAAGCGAGAAGCGAGGCGAAGCGTGAAAGGCAGCGCTTCAGCAAGGTGAAGCGACTCAGGTCAATAAAAGCGACCGCTTCTCTGTAAAAAGCGAGAAGCGGGGAAAGCGAAGCGAAGAGAAGCGTCCGCTTCTCTGTATTAAAATTCCCTAACCCTATTTTATTAAAAACAAGTTTTTTGGATTAAACACTGATCTTCAACAAGAACGACTAGTATTCTTCAACTTCCAACGGCAGCGACTTCTTCTTCATCTACTTCTAATTTCTGAAAGAATCTCAAATCATCAACTAGGGTTGTTCTTCTTCTTCTTCAACTTCAAGTTCAAGACTTAAAGACTTCAACAGGTATGTTCTGAACTTCTGATTTTCATTCTTCTCTTCTTCTTCTTCTTCTTCTTCTTCTTCTTATTCTTTTTCTTTCTAAACGTCCAAAAAGCAGCGAAATGCTGGCGAATTTTTTCCAGAATTTTACTGCCCAATTTTTCCAGTTATTAACAGAGAATCCTATGATTTTTTATATCTTTTATTCTTAGTTCTTATTGCCTTTCTTATGTGTTATGTAGTTGTTCTTTTAATGGCGCCAAAAGAAGATAGGAAAGATCCGGCTTGGGCTTACTCTGAAAGAGTTTGCGAGACCAACAAGATGGCAATTAGATGTCTTTTTTGTGACAAGATTTCAAATGGAGGAATCTATCGT